GCTTTCCTCTGCGCTGCTCAAGAGTACTAGAGCATTGAAGTCATCTTCTTTTTCGAGTGCCTCATCTGCGTATTGGTTCGCTCCTCGTTTCGTAACTGGGATCCATTTATAAGAAATATAATATATCATGGTTACTATATTTTTCCGTCACCCCCACCCCACCTCTCTCTCTCTCTCTCTCTCTCTCTCTCTCTCTCTGTCTGTCTGTCTGTCTGTCTGTCTGTTAATCTCTCGCTCCCTCTTTCTCTCTTCTTTCTTTCGCCCACTCTGTGCGCGCACGCGCGCGCACGCGTGTGTGTGTGTGTGTGTGTGTGTGTGTGTGTGTGTGTGTGTGTGTATGTGTGTGTATGTGTGTGTGTGTGGGTGTGGGTGTAATATGGGCTACAGGTTTTGCTTCTGCTTTCTAAATAAAATTGTCACAACAAGTACAATTTCGAAACTGTTGACAGTGGCACCAACTCTGAATTTTATTACTGCTGTAACTAGAATGCCCCCACTGACGATTTATATAACACAACTGCAGCCACTGTTGCAGGCACAGGGTAGACGAGAGGAAAATCCTGAACAAAGTTTTGGGAAAAAGACGAGCTAAACTACTCTTATTTTTAAAACCATTAAAGTTTAAATTACATAACCTAGGTGTAGTATGGCAACGAAACATCCAAGATTCCAAGTACGATTACTTCAGGCAGGATCAAATTTGCTTGAATTGATATTTGTATATTGTTTGCTGCAGATGATATTATTGGGTGTGGTGGTGTACAGCGATGACAATGAACATGCTCACGGTAAGTATAATTCTAGACATGCAACTAAACGTAGAACGACACTCTGGCTGACTGGCAGCTAATTTTAGTAATGTGATGTCATCACATCCTGGGATACCCTCAGACTATTTTTAGAAGGCCGTGGAGATACCAAAGATCAGGTAGTAATCTAGAGAATCTTTGGAGATACCGCATGGAATGACATGTTGGGTCAGAGTCAGTGGTTTGGCGTATTATCAGTATCAATGTGTTTCGAACTGTAAAATTTCACACTTGCAGCTAACTGCAGCCCGTCAGCCATGCTCTAGGCTACTGATTGGTTATTACAAGGTTTCCGGTATGTTGATAACATTTCAGAATTCCGGTTGAGTCTAGATCTAGATTTAGATCTAAAAATCTAGGTCTAGTGAATTGTGATGCTTGAAATTGAAACACGGTAAACGCAAAGACAATAAAGCACGCAGAAATTGCCGTAAAGACGCCGGAAGATTACCCCCTCCTTCCGCGGGCGCGATAAACCATGCGCAGAAGAGAAGCAGCAGCATCATCAGAGCACCGCATCCACATTACCAGTAGATCTATTCCTGGAAAAACATCACATCAAAGCGTCGTGCCATCTAAGATTCTCTACACATTCTTTGGTGCCAGGCGGTTGGCTATATTTAGATGTAGTCTCGTGATCGGAAAGTAGAGCTGGATCCCGCTCTCCAAATCTGAGAGTGGCGATTCGCGATTCAGTCGGCTTCAATAAATCGCGAGTACGTGAGCGCTTGTGGAACACTAAGTCTTGGGCTTGTTGTGTGCGTGAAACGGAACAGTGTTATGTCAACGCCACTTCGCGAGTCCCACTCTTGTTGTCCCGCAATCCTCTCCGCCCCCCCTCCTCCCCACCCTTCTTTGGGTTGCTCTACTGACCTCAATTAGCAACCCCCATAAATTCATCCCCCCATGATTCGCTAAAACAATGGCTCCATAAAATTCCTTCTGTCTGTTGGGTGGAACCCGTTCATTTTGTTTTAATAGGGGAGTTGGACTATGCCATCTTTTGTAAAATAAGGGGAGCCATATTAAGTGTTCCGTTCCGTTCTTGCGCTCGTGACTCGACTCGCGTCTCAGCAGTAGGTTACAAACAAGCCACAAGGTGATGACAGCGACAGGGGAGTGAATCGGGAATCGGAAGGCGATACTGTTCCGCGTTCGGCTGAAGTGAATCGCGGTCCTCAGGGAATAGGGGTGATTCAGTTCCATTCTCGCACTCACGACCCAGCTCTATCGTAGAGGTATCCCGGTCTGACGTCACATAAGATGGCCGCCTTACCTAAAAATAGTTTGCATTGTTCTACATTTAGTCGCATGTGTATTCTAGATCTAGAATCTAGAAACAAATTGCAAGATAAATGTTGTCATCTGTAACTTAATTGATAGGCTCTCTATGTTGCAGTAAAAGACTATTGCTTTTTAAAAAAGAGAAATCAGAACTTTCACGATGAGTCGGAGGCAGCTCATAGGCATCAGAGTGTGTGATAATTTTCAGCAGTTTGTTACGGTTGTATTCTTCTATACGTAGATTTAATATGAAATGAGCTGTCTCTGCAAAAAATTAAGGTATATTAAATGTAAAGTTACCTGGCGGTCAGATGAGTCACGTCTGTCAAGGGTGCCCTGTCCAGGATAGATGTTGCCTTCTCTTTGTCCTGTCTGCCACTGATTCTCTCAGTGAGTATCTCTCAGACGATGTCAGCCTATTTCCCGCGGCTCAATGTGACGTCATCCAAGGGCGTGCTATGTCTCCCTTAATTATCTTGTCCCCTTAGTAAAGATAAAAGTCATGTCCCTTGACATCACAATTAAAGACAAGTGTGACAATCCACTTCAGTCTCTAATTCCGGGCTAAAAAGAGAGACCAACATGACATCAAAATTAACAAAAAGAAAGTGAACAAAAACTGTCATGGTGTGTATTTATGGAAATAGAAACGTTTTCATTTATGAAGAAATAATTTTTTTTTTGGTTGGGGCCTGCTCTCATCATTAGCTCAAATTGTCTTCAAACTATTTTTCCTTGTTGAAATTGAGTCTCCACCAAAGTAGAGTGTATGCCCTACCTGCATTTTTGTTTAGACCAAACATGAAGTAGGCCTATTTAGTCGAAGCTGAAGAAAAAATTGGTCTGTCCAAGTTCAATTTCTTACCTGTTGTATGGATCAAATCTGGAATAGAAGTAGGGCTGTTCTCCTTTGGCCCACTAATAAATACAACATTTAATGATATAATGTACAACCAAATGAGATCAAAATTGTTTGCATCCTTTCTTCCTCAGGGTATTTGCTTTGTCGTAAATGTGGCTATGAGCTGGCAGAAGCTGAAGACCTTATATCTGTTCCTAGTACTTTAGCCCACCGCCAGAGGAATGACTCGATGGGTGGTGGTGAACGTGCCTTGATACAGCTTTTCAAAAATCCTCAAGGTGAAGAAATTCAATAAGTATTGTAGCATTGTTACATAATTTGTTAATCTTTTTTAGGAAAATGTTGTTTCTATGAGTTTGCTATCATGTTGGTACTAGATATCTAGTACTATTGTGGTCACGACAGAATGATACAAAAATCAAAAGTGTAAGTAAAAATTTCAGCTGGATATGATGTAAAAAGATTTTGAAGCTTTCAATGATGCCTTCCAGTGCCATGCAGAATACTTGAAAAGTATATTAAATTAATTTCATTCCACGATCTAAAGTTCTATCATTTACCCTTACAGAAAATATAATTACAGATATAAGTTCATTATTTTGGGGGAGGGTTGTGACAGTAAGCTGAAATGATGAGACTATTTTTCTATAGACTGATACATGGGAGAAGTGTTTCAAGCCAAGATCTTTGTTGGCCACCCCACTGACGTTAGTTTCTGCTATAATCAGGGCTTCTTGAAATTCAATTGCCTCCCATTTTTGAAATCTTTCCTCATTGAATAATCGCAATATGTGTTAGTTTTTCAGATCATGATATTACTAGAGAGTCAGATGCTGGTATTAGATAATATAGTGTAAAGCGCATAGAGCCTGCTGCTGAGCGGGGATATGCGCTATACAAATGCTATCTATTATTATTATTATTCATTTTCCTACTTTCTGTTTTTAAAAAGTACTAAGATATATGCAAACCTCTTTAATAAGCGCTCTTAAGCAGTGCTGTATCTCTTTGGAAAGTGACACCCATGGCAGACTCGATCCATCCCTCCTACCTGGCCCTTTCTTGAAGACCTGTATATTCGGTTGTTGAAGGGGGAGTCAGAACTGTGACTTCTCTCCTTCAATGGATTATGGTGCCCAGGGAACTTGCTACACCCTAGACATGCCTCTGAACATTTTAATTGATGTAGTTAGGTATTGATTTTGGTTAGGGTTAGAATTTCATAGACAGTCCCCTCTAAATATAAAAATTCCAAGGACTTACACTCGGTAAACAAGTTCCACACCTGGTTCATCAATCCTCCCTTGCTTATTTTCTGAGGCTAATCATGTCTTTTCTGTTGTTAAAAAAATCTTTGGTTAAGATATATTTATGTGACTATTTTGTGCCTTGAAGATTTCAGACCTGATGTGTGTTTCCTTTTTTTTTCAGGTGCCTACTTTGAAGTGATTACTCTAACCAATGCTCATGTGGAAAAAGCAAATGAGGTATAAAGTCTGTTAACTTCCTGGATTTTTATGTTGATATTGCCAAGACTTTTATGCTATTGTTGGTGATACTGGTACTGCTTTTAAGTTTTAAGTTCATCCCGACTGAAATGAATAAATCAATAAATATATAAGTTTATGTGTGTGTTTTTGTGTATACATGTAAGTATGCATGTGTGGTTTCATCCCGGCTAAGAAATTTCAGTGAATTTCGCAGAAAACGTGAGAATGTGAAAGAAGGGAATCTGTATTTGTGTTGATGAAATGAAAGTGCTGATGGACCTGGTATACTTATCAGATCTCACTAACGTGTACGTGTTCACCCCTATGGTGCTGGCCTTTTATTTTGGAAATATTTTTGCTTCATTGTCAACGTTTTCTCAAATTTTTTAGATTCCTGGTGTAAAATTGTTCAGTATGGAGCACAAGATATTCTCGGATAAAAGCAGAAATTTTGAAGGTTCCTTTTGTTAAAAGTGGCACAAACCATGATATTGTGCTAGCATCTGCATTTGTCGCGGCCCGCGATTGTTGTCATTTTTTTGGTCTGCGAATCGCGGCCGCGATTTTTGTAATTTTCAACAAAAAAAACCAAAGCTACTTCATAACATATCAGACATGTATTTTGATAAGCTTTAAGACATCCATGTGTATCTATTTTCATGTGGAGATTATAAGTACATTGCATACTATTCATATTGCTGTTTGTCTTATATTTTTCCCTCTTTGTTGTGTTTTAATTTGTTGGTGTGTTAAATTATTTTTTTTAATGTCTGATGTGTTGTTTTCTTTTTTTTTTTTTCGTTGATACATGGTAATGTCATTCAATTTGATGCTGTTCCTACCTTTAAAAAAAAATAAATGTGTTATGTTAGAGCGGGTCTCCACCAATACCAAACACTGACACTGGCACGCCCCATGTGTGTGATTCCATAATTTACATGTTTATATCCTGTAGGCCTACTTTTTCTTGAATTACACCCGGTTAGGGTTAAAACAGCAAATTTTCGGATAAGTGGACACACGCCCTTATTTGTTAATTTTTGTGCTGTTCTAATTTTGATTTCATTCTTTTGTGAAACCTTTATTATTTTTCACATTTTTACACACTGGGTGGCTGCAAATGATATTCTGGATGCTTAAATCAGAGCACAAGAAATTCTGGTGCTTTAGATTGTTACCTCTATCAACATATTGCTATATACGTCGTCACAGTGAGTTTAAAGCTTGAAAATTTATAGCAACTTTTATGGCAACTTTTGCCACTTTTTGTGGCAACTTTTGACCAAAAAATGGCAGCAAACGCAGATGCCAGATTGTGACACCTCAAAATAAGCCTACCCAGTTATCTAAACGAGAAACAATTATCACCAACCTATTTTCTGATCACTTTGCACATACTGACACTGTTTTTCTTTGTTAAGAAATATGCAGCAGACAGTTGGTTCCCAGGCTTTGCATGGAGCATCGCCAGCTGCCCGAAATGTGGGGTTCATATTGGATGGTAAGTTCTAATTGTAACAATTCCTGGGGTAGGGGTTTAGGGTTGTTTTTTTGTTTTGTTTTATTTTATCCCCTATTTTTTTCTACACACTTTGTCAGCTAATAAATCTTTGTCTGAATTAAAGTCCAAGGAAGCAAGAGGACATATTTGATGTTGTGAGCTTTTCACTTGAGATATTCTCTCACTTTTATTTGTAAAATGTAATCTTTTTTTTAATGCCTCTTTGTGTCTTAGTTCTGCTATTCTCATTCTTCTCCTTGTCATCCTCATCCACCTACCTCCTCCTTTCTTTCTCCTGGACTTAAATGTATGAAAAAATAATGTGTAGCCTACGTGTATGTTTCCATATATCTCTCTTTTAAAAAGAGCCTTGATAGAAAGTATAAGAAGGTTTTTAGATCTGCTTAGCTAGTATTTAATTGTTAAATCCTAAACCGGTACAGTGGCATAAGTAATTGGAAATGCAAAGGAATAAATATTTTCTCCTCACTGGTAGCAACTTCTAGAGACTTCATAGAGTAAATCTAAGTTTTATTGAAAGGAGACCATCTTGTTACAAATGTTGGCTTGGCCAAGTGTCTTAAAAGTTTCTTATTTTCTCACATCAGGGGCTTTGATGCCATCACAAACTCAGTACAAGAGATGAAAATCAAGCTGTCTTCATTTGTTGGCCTGATCATGGACAAAGTGATGCATGAAGATGGTAAGTCAGACTCTCGGGCAATGATAAAAAAACCAGTTGAAATTGCCTAAGTCGGCCACTCGTTGTTGAGGAGAAATGCGGTTGTCCTAGACAGGTGGACATCTTGGACTGTCATTATGAAATATATTTATGAGGAATCGTGGTGAAATCAAGCGGTAGTTCTTTCTATCTATTGTTCATGGCGGTCTCCATACCCAAAAAACAAACTGGCTAATCATCCTTTATGCTGTACCACTTTGCCGTCACATCTCGCTGATCAGCGATGTTTGCCACCCAGTTTCTTTGGACTTTTCCCAAAATGGCTTTGCCTTTGATGGCAAGGGTTTTTACAAAATCTGTATGAGCCTTTTGATGGCGAAGTGTTAATTAATGTTAAAAAAATATTAATACATAGGCCTACTGAGACACTTCCACAGACAATGAAAATAGCAGAAGGCGCTGATGATGCAAGTGTAATTATGTTAAGTTGTTTTTTTATGTTTTGCTTTATAGTTTTCTATTATTTTCCACTGTATGGTTATGTTTTAAAGGCTGAGAATTAGAGATAAATGTCAGTAACTTCAATGCTTATGGTGTATATTTAAGTTTTTGGTTTCGACTCTGTATAAAATTTTCTTCAGAGAAAATGTGTAATGTTACAGTTGTCATTAACAATATTATTATAATGATTATTAAAAGAAGATGAATTTCCCTTGACTTTTCTCACTCCACTTTTACTTTCTTGTTTGTTTATTTTTCAGAGGTCTACAATTTAATAGCTGTGCCAAAAGTCTACACGAGCTGACAAGACTGAGAGTCATAATGCTGTTCTCTCCCCTGTCACAATAGGATAAATTCGAGACTGTTTCTCGTGTTTTTGTCTTTGATGTTCATCAAGATGACTGAGAATATTGAGACCTTAAGCAGCTTTTTTGACTGTGGATGTAATGACCGTATTGTAATATTTCTTTTGTCATAAGGGGGATTATTTGTAATTAGTGTGTTTATTTTAATGTTTTCATTGCTTTTATTGATTAACTACTTCCTATCGTTTTAACTGTGATTTTAAAAAAAAATTTGAGCAACAGAGAGGTAAATTTTTAAGTAACGAAAGTATTTTTACAGAGATTCGTAATCAAATGTTACTCTCAGTTTTGCCACTTGTTTTGATTAAGCATATCTACATTGATTGCCCGGTTGAGCATTGCTTATTTGATCATGTTTGTACAAAAGCTACCGTGGTGAAATTCCTAATGGACGGCAGCCTATTCTCGGCAATGAAGTTTTTGGTTTGGATTCATGTCCGATTAGACTATTGCTACCTCTTCTTTCATATCGAAGGAGAGTTCCGTGCCATCTGGATTTATAAAGGTGTTTGGAACCACACTTTATTGATGTGAATTGGTGCGGAGTTGAATTCAGCAATGCTTCACACTGCACTATTACATTGATACTCTTTGTGTCACATTCAGATGTAGCCTATATCCTTCTTTAAAGTAAGACTTTGCATGTTTCTAGTTGACACAGGATTTTATATGTATTCTTTCAAGCAGATTTCTATCTTAGAATATTCTACAGCTATAGTATCAGTATAAATGGCTAGTTTATGCACCATGTACAGTATAACACGGATAGCTCGAATTCGTTGAGACCGGCCTCGGTAGTTGGAGGGATCCGTAGTTCAAGAGATATCTTACAAAGATAAAGAAGAAGCAAAAAACAGGACCTTAGGCTCAGTTTGACGGATGCGTGATTTGGAGTCTTCTGTGTTCGACCTATCCCTGTTGTACTGTATTTGCTTATGGCGGCGTGCATAAATTGTGAAACTACATTCTGCTAATGTAAATAATCTGTGGGGTGGTCGTTTTTGCTTTGCATGCTAGTTTGTTTCCTCAATGAACACAAACAGATCCACTCTGCTTCAATGCCCATTACACATTCATAAACTCTTTATGTATGTATGTGCATGTACTTTGAAATGGTGCTAGTGCTACGTCCAGATAGAGAAGATATGGTAAGATTATGTTGTTTTTTCTAATATATAAGCTCTTATTTCATCTGATATTATGTTGTCTTTAGAGTCAAACCCTCAAAGATATTTTACCGTTCTGAGTACAAAAAGATTGCGTGTATGAATAACTTTTGGGGGCACATTAGTTTTTCATGTGATGTGGCAGTCAGGTTTGCATATTTATCTTGTGTACACAAGGATTTTCTCAAGTGTTTGTTTCTATAATATAGTATTTATATCTTGGGCACTGCTGTGAGTTCTTACTTTATCATATGTTGTATCGGCCGGTAGCATTCACTTTGCCTTTCATGAAGTAAATACTCATTAAGCACTGCGTGTATGTCCTCAGAACCACACAGATAATATAGTATATATAGCAACACGACAAAATGAGTCGCATTGTGACAATATTATGATTACCCTCTGCATGTCAAATTAGAGATCTCCTCAAGCCTTACACATGGTGAAACAGCAACCGTTTAGTGGCTACATTTGTTTCGTTATAGTATAGCTATTTCAATTTGTGAAATCAAAAATACGTAGTCCTTTCAAAATGGAAGTTTTTTGCCCAATATCTTAAAACAGCTTGGTCAACACAGGCTTGCCAACTGGGTCACACATTTCCCAGAACTGTCTTTGATTGGGTAATCCAAGACTTAAGAGGACATTCACTGTATACTGTAAATAATTAGGCCCACACGAAAACCAGTCCTACTTGCTTGATGAAATTCTGTTCGTTGTGGCGTCGGTGGCTTTATGGCTAGGCTCTCAGTGTCAGACTGGCAATCATAAGGTCACGGGTTGGAATCCTGTCAGGAGCCCAACGTTGTGTCTTTGGGAAAGGCATTTTACATGAATTTTCCTCTGTTAAACACACCGGAAACTTTTCAAATGCTGAAACTGACTTATATCAACTTTTCAAACAAATCGTTTATCATCTTCCATGCTTGTGAAGTTGTCGAACAAAGAATTTGCCACTTAAAAAAGTGGACACATTATGTTTTTTATAATTGCATGTTACTTCCATAGCAAATTTGCATCTCTATTTGTTGTGTTCACTCATACCTTGTTTGATATTTGTTTTATCTGGTTGTGTTCCTATTCTTATTAAAGAGGGTTTTGGTTGTAGTTTTGTTTTTTTGTCATCTTTAGTTTGCTTTATACTCTCTCCCAAAGATGATGTTATTCTTTATCTCTATGATGACCACCACAAGTCGTTGTCGCTACTTTAGATTAGAATAGAGAGATAGTAAATTGCCATGACTAACTAAACTTTAGGCTGTCACTGTAACCATGGTTGATAATAATTATGCTGTTCTATGCTTTGTTTACATGAAACTGGCAGGAAATGAGCCAGTTGAATTTGTCCTATTCATATACGTATAGTTAAGTCTGCTGACCTATTTTTCACTTCCAGTAAAAGTACAATTGAGCTCTCCTTCATTGGCAACGTGGGTGGTCGGAGAGCACCACTGACAGGTCCTTATGCTTTACCTTCCTTCTGTTGTTTCTGTATGTCTGTCTCACTTTTACCCAGTACTAAATGACTATTATTGTGCCGATGTGCTTCTCTTTACTCAAACAAACAAACTATTGGCAACCTAAATTATCTTACTTTTAGGCACATCTGGGCTCTCCATACTCTATGGAGCTAGATCTACATGTGGTTTGATGTGATGTCATGCTCCAAAGACTGTTTGAACACAGTGTAAGTAGGGAGATCTCAAGAAGACCTTCACCAAATATTTTTTTCAATACAATGTGTGCATTTATTTTCCCACACAATTTTTTTTTTTTTCTTTTAGAATCTAGTGTACATGTTTTGATGTTTTGAGAAAATTGTTCTTAAACCAAGAAGTACAACATATTTGCTCACTATTGCTCCATTTAGATCTAATGTCTGTCCGACCTTTATGCCATTAAAGTATTATAATGTTAAGCTGTATATATAAATGAGACTTAACCAATCTGTACTTCGTTTAATAACTTGTCTTTTGTCTGTGTTCTGGAACATTCTACTAATTTCTTTCAAACTTTTATCCCAAATGTGTCAAAGATTAGTATTTTGTTATGATTAGAGTCTAACACAAACTTCTGATTCTTATTCGTCACAGAACCTTTACAAAATTGTTGGATGGCTAGATATTGTCAGATCTGTGTCTGAGCAGTTGCCTTCTTTGAACAGAAATACTTCCTGTCTCATGTTAACATATATTTTACATATTTACTCTATTCTGTTTTGAAATGAATATTTTATTAGTGCATTCATTCGAGTACAAATATATGGATAAGAAGATGATCCCCATACTAAGTCAATTTTACAAAAATATTTGTAGATGAAAATAGATTTTGATTGATCATAAGAAACATGTATTTATGTTATAATGTGAAAAAACATTATCGTTTGGGAGAAATTCTGTACTTTGGTTGTTTGTTTTTTTTTAACTTACTGACAGTATTCACTTTGCTTAGTACTGGTGTATTGTCTCACATTTCTATGGAAATCCGTAATGATAAGAACCGATCTGGAACTGTTGTGTATTTTGTTGAAATAATTTGTGAGAGAAAAAATAAAGCAGATTCTTATAAACACACTCTGTGCTGATGATTTCTTTTCTGCAAGACTATGGTTCTATTTAGTTACTTGGAAAATGCCGAATGGCATGGATTTGACACCCTTTCCAACTGTTTGTTGGTTTGGGTCATACCTAAGCTCAGGCCTTTTAGTCTTATATTTGTCAGTTATCTAGGATTTGATTGAACCGAATGGTGCATGGAGAGCAATGAAATCTCCTGAATAAGAATATATAGGCCTACCATTTTGGATTTGAACTAGTCACTCATACTCGTACAACAATCTAGCATATTATCAACTGAGTTAAGTGTTCATCATTTGTGTTGTTGCATTCCTTTCTTGACAGAAACAATTACAATATAACATAGAAAGGTCGAACACAGAAAACTCGAAATCACTTCTCTTGCACTCCCGGTGGAGCATAGGCCATCAACAACATTTCTCCAGCGAAGCCTGTCCTCAGTGTCCTGTGCATCCTTTTCTAGCTGTTTCTATGATGTCCCCGCCTTTTCCAATTCCGCTTGTACCGCTAGCCTCCATGTCATCTTTGGTCTTCCTTTCTTACGTTTTCCTGGATTCCACCTCAAAGCCTGTCTGTGGGTGGTTGGCGGGTGCTCTGGTGTGGTTTGCTTCTTTTTTCCTATCAAACATCTAGCTTCTATCGTCCTTATCTCCCCTCATCATCAATCATCATCAATGCCTTTCACCCCTGGCAGGGTATAGGCCACATACAAGCTCCTTCCATTTATCTCTGTCCTGAGCCATCCTTCCAAGCTCGTTCCAAGTGAGCTTCATTTCTCTCATGTCCCTTTCCACGCATCTCCTCCATGTTTCCCGTGGCCTACCCCTGCCTCGTGCTCCTTGTGGGTTCCACTGCAGTGACTGTCTTGTGATGTTTCCGCTGGGCTTTCTTAAGGTGTGTCCCATCCATCGCCACTTTCTTAGTCCTATTTCTACTTCTATATCCTTTTGTCCTGTCCTTTCCCACAGCTCTTCATTTCTTATTCTATCCTGCCACTTAATTCTTAAAATACTCCTCATACATCTGTTGATGAAAGTCTGGACCTTATTCAGTACTGTCTTCGTTGTCTTCCAAGTTTCGCAGCCGTAGAGGAGCACAGACTTGACGTTGGAGTTAAAAAGTCGAATCTTGGTGCGCAGTGAGATGTTGCTTGCTTTCCAGAATTTTGATAATTGCTTGAAGGCTGACCTTGCCTTGGCGGTTTTTGCTTTAACATCTGCCTCGGTTCCACCTTTACCATCGATGACACTTCCAAGGTAGGTAAAGGAGTCCACTTCTTCAAGGGGAGTGTCTTCCACTGTCACAGCAAGGTTTGAAACTTTTCCTAGCTTCACTACTTTTGACTTGCCTGGATGTATACGTAGGCCAACACTCCTTGATAGGCTGTTGAGTTCCTTGGTCTTTTCTTGCATCTGAGCATGTGTGTGAGAGAGCAGTGCAAGGTCATCGGCGAAGTCCAAGTCGTCCA